TCGAGCCCCGCATCGGGCTCCCTGCTCCGCGGGAAGCCTGCTTCTCCCTCTCCCACTCCCCCTGCTTGTGTTCCCTCTCTCTGTCAAATAAATAAAATCTTTAAAAAAAAAAAAGACACATATTTAGAAATACATGTAGGTATGGGCATAGAACGAGACAGAGCCATAGATAAGCAGAGTGGCTGTTTTCCTAGTAAGTCATAACTCATTATCTATAATAAAGGACTTTGTATTCACTAGAGCTTGTACCAAAGGATGCCAAAAGATTATGTGCAATGAATTAATTTTCTCTTTGTGCTCACCAAGCAGACATAATACTGTTCTCTTTTTCACAGTTGAAAAATGGGGAAGTGTCTGTCAAAAGTGAGACATTGATATGTGGAAAAGTTGCAGACACCTGATGGGCCCTGACTCTAACTCGAACTTGATAATACCTATTATCACCTGAGGGATGATATTCAGAGCATGCTGAGACCCAGCAAAATAACTAGGTCACATAAAATTTCATTTAACGTATTAATAAACTGTTTTTAGCAGTGGTGGTTTGGTTTTGTTTAATTTTCCCCACTTCTTGCTTTCTGGTTTGGGTCCTTTTTAAAAATTTGCTTTTGCTTTTTTTTTTTTTTTAATTGTTAACCACTTCAGATACTTTTTGGAAAGTCATGGTATATAAATCTGCCAGTAATTTTAAGATGGAAATAAAAATTAACTGGGCATGAAGACCATATGTTGAGTTAACTTTTTAAAAAAAGAAAAATGGCAAATGCATTTTATAAGATACACAATAATTATTTTCCAATTCACAACATTGGTCAACGAAATATTTGCATAAATCCCCCAATTTAAGAAACCTACCATAGTATATTTCCTAATATCCTGGGATATTAGGAAATATCAGGGATACATGTGCTTTATAATGCAATATCTATAAAACCATACATGTTGTTAGGAAATTATGTCTCCTCCAAGACCATGACCCACATGCATGCCAAGATCCAGTCCAATTTAGCAATGGAGTATTTCAAAAGTGGTACTTGAGAAAAATATTACACATAGTTTTATCTAGGATGACATTTTTAATGCCCCCTGGAGATGTCTGAGAACAAAGCAGGAATGTGCCAAAATCTTCAAAGGTTACGATCATCTGAAGAGAACCTGTTTCACATTTGTATTTCTAAGAAGCTACTTTTATGACTCTTGAACACATTGCACAGAAATCTCTGAACACATTTATGATATTCCTGTGGGTTTGACTATCACACCTGCCACACCTTGAGGCCTCCACAGTGCTGTGAGGAAAACCAGGCAGACTCACTAGCCGGGTGAGAATTATGAAGAGATTCTAGACATCCTGCCTTCACAGCCCTCCTGTCCCCTTCTTTCCTTACAGTCTCCTTGCTGGACAAGCTGCTACGCTGCAGGAAAGTTCTCACCCAAACTGCTTCTGCTCCACAATGCACAACTGTTTGATTTGCATAGTTTCCCTGTTTATTTTCGCAGTGAGGATGTTATCACCAACTGGCTCACGTGCATCTCCCAGGGGGATGGGGGTGAGGCTGAGAGCCCTTCTTACCCTCCTGGTTCCTTCCCGACTAAGGCGGAAGACTGGGGATCCCTGCCCCATGCTCCGGCCTGGGGAGGACCCCTGAGCGGCTGAAGAGCTGTGAACAGGGCTCAAGTTCTCTTCCCGTTTCATTCACAGTGACTAAGGTGGTTCTTTCCCGTTCGGCTTTCCTTCCCAAGCCTCCTAAGCAGGAATGACAAGAGCCCACGACGGAGGGAAAATGGGAGGGGGGCGCGGGTCGTGTTCTTCCTCCTCAAAGTGGAAACAAAACATTATTCCAGGTGCATCCATGTAAACAGATATGTGATGCCAAAATGTAAATTTCCACAGAAGAGGAGGGCACTTTCCAGCTGTGTACCCAATGTGAAATCAAAGCTCCATCTAATGCCAATTACTGACCACCCTACTTCTCAATACTCTGAAGAATCCGGTCTCCTTAGTGGTCCCTGACAAAGGACCCCTGAGTTCATTGGCGGGCAAGTTTCTGCCCCTGGCCAAGGGCAGAGAGGTCAGACACATTATAGGCCCTTAAGCACCTGCTCATTCCCTCTCTGAGTAGCACTAGTTCTCAAGAGAAAGGAAAACGAAGGAAGGATTTAATCGAAGATTCCTAGGATATATACTGTATCTTCTCTGAAAATGACATGCTCTCTCTTGCCTCCAGGTCTTTGTACTAATACTTAGTCCCTCTGCCAAGACTACCTTCTCTCGCATTATTCAGCCTTCCCAGACCCTCCAGATACACAGCCTCATTTTGTGCTCCTCTATTCCTTTCTCCCCAAATCAGCCCAACTTAGCACTCCTCACATTATTTGTGACTGCCAGCTTGCTTATCAGAACCCGAACCTCTAAATAATAAACTCCCAGGAGGCAAGGACCTCAAGTGTTTAGTATATAGAAGCCACTGGAGAAATATTTATTGGATAAATGGATAGATAAATGGGTGGACATGTAAGTGAATGAAGGGGTAAAAAACATCATAAATAGGGCAATCTCACCCTATTTATTTGGTCTTCAAAAACATGCAATTTAGTCCCTAGTCTATTCTGAAAACAATTCTATTCTAAGTAGAACTAGGATATAAGTAAGCCCAAGCATGCTGTGAGGGTCTGGAGGAAAATTCGAACCCGGAGGGTGAGGGAAACGAAGAACGTGAGTAGGACTTCTTCAGGCAGAGGGGGAAGGAGGAGAGCCCCGGAGGGGGAGCAGTGCGAGCAGCGATTTGGAGAAGGAGCCTGCTCACAGGCTTGAGTGCAAGGTGGTGGACTCGGCCCCCGCACTTTGAGGAGGCACAGCTTCAGGGAAACCAGCCCGGTGGGCCTCGAGAAAGTGGACAGACAAGAGTGGAGGAGGTCACCAGCTTGAGAGGCCGCTGGGGGTTCAGGAGAGGTGGGGAAGGCCCGAACACACGGCAGTGGTGGGATGGGAAGAAATGGGTCCGTCAAATTACCCTTCATTTCCCACCTGCTCTCCGCAGTTATATGAGGCCGTGTGACTGAGTCCTCGCTTCGGGGAATTTACATGGAAGGGACCCGGCACCACCTTCAGGCCAGGGCCTTTGAGAGAGTGGGCTTTCCTCCCCACACCCACCTTCTATTTCTGTCCGCTGGTTGCAGACTTGACGAAGCCCAAAGGCAGTGGGCCTCGAGCTAGCGTGTATCAGAAGCACCTGGAGGCGTGTTAGGCAAACCTCTGGGCCTCGCCCTTAGAGTTTCTGATTCAGAAGGTCTGTGATGGGACCTGGTAACGAGCATTTCTAACACGTTCCCAGGAGATGCTGAGACTGCTGGTCCACGAACTGCACTTTGAGAACCACTGCCCTGGGGTATGGTGCAACCTAATCTTGAAAGACCAAGTGTTTCCAAATAGTTGCATTAAAGAGAGCCCCCTCTCTGACCTAGACCCCCTGCCAGGACTGTCTACAAGCCCAAAATTGGCTTCTCCTGTGTTAACTCCATACATTTTAGATCTGTTACAGTAGCTTAGCCTATCCTAATAATACAGGAGCTGAGGGGAAAGATTTGAAGCTGACTCCCAGATTTGGGGTTGGGTGACTGGGAGAATAGTTAAGCAGGTTTGGAAGGAAAGAGGATGAGTGGATTATCACAGTCTTAGGAGCCCTCCACTCCACAAGGACTGGTCATTCTGCTGGCTCAGCCCCACCCAGGGCCCATCTAGCAGAAGGTCATGTCTGCCTTTCATTCCTCTCCTGTCAGTTCCTTGGTGGCTTCTAAGGCCGCCTTCACATGTCCCCTCTCTCCTGCAAGCTTCCCTCCTGCCTGCCAGAGTTCAGGTGGGAAGGGAGGGGACTGCTGCTTCCTCTGGCCCCTGTAGCATTGGCCGTAGCCCTCACCTTCTTGGCATTAATCACAGTAAGCCCTTCTGTCTGGATCGTACCTCGCTGTTCGCAAAGCACTTTGGCCTCTCTTACCTCATCTGATCCCCACAGCAACCACATGAGCTGCTCTAGAAGCATGCACACGCACGCACGCACACACACACGGTGTGTTATCATATATTAGCTAACACTTGTTGAATATCCCACCTACACAATCTCACTTCCATTGAGTCTCATGAGCAATGTCTTAAGGACATTTGTTGAATGGATGAGTGACTGTGGTGCCCGGAACAAGGGATTTAAGCTTTCTCACCCTCCACTTCTCCTCCACAACCTTGCAGGGTTACCCGGGTGACAGCGGACCTTAGCAACTAGTTATTATCATCCTTGTATCACCTCTTCTTCTCCATTTCTAAACCGTGTCTTGGCATTCAAGATCCTTCAGGAAGTGACTCCAGCCTCACAAGATCCCTCCACAGACCTCCTACATTTCAGACAAAGTTTCCCGTGCCCTGAGAAGGCCCCACACGTCCCCACCCCTGTGCATCTGTTCACACCGCCCTCTGTCTAGAAGGCCCTTCTGCTCCACCGTCCTCCGTTAAAATGAAGATCCACTCCTTTGTGAGGTCTTCCTCGGTGCCTCCCACCAGAGGGAGTCTCCGCTTCCCTGGGAACCCCAGAGCATCAGTCTGTACCTTGCTTACCGCCCCCGCCTCGACATGGTTGCCATGTCTTAGCATATGGCTTCCTGGCTGCCCTACTTTCCAGAGATGCCTCTCAACTTCTGGTTCACAGAGAGCTCCCTTTCTCGTTTTCAAGAAAGAATGGCTGTGTATTAATTTATGTCTTATATCATTCTCATCATTTCAGTGGCTTAGTTGGGGGGATGGTGATTATCATGTACTCAGTCTGCCAACTTGAAAACAAAAGCATGAAGAATATGTACATACGAATAAATGAGTAACTGCAAGGCATCTGTAAATCCAGGCAAATACTTGGCATTGTTTTGGGGGGTTGAGGGGAAGAACGTTTTTCCAGAAAGCTCTTGCTTTAAATACCAACTCCGCACTCAAAGCCTCCGGGGGGACCTTTCGTTACCTGTGGTGCTGAGGCCCGTGTACTCAGGGGACGGGTGGCTGACGGGGGAGGACGGAGGTGGCACTTCCATGGACGTGGCAGATTTTGCTGGTGAAAACGATGGCACCGGGGAAGGGGTTGGCGGGGTGGCCTCTGTCAAGACAATCTCTTCTCGGACTTCTGCTATGGGTAGAGAAAGGGTGGGTCCTCAGAGCCAAAGGTCAAGGCAAGTTGTCTTTAAAGGACTTTAAAAATGGAAATATTCTTTCTCATCTGTGTCATGTCACCCTTCTGCTTCAAGCCCTTTGATGATTTTGCACCACCATCATGGCGTGCAAGGCAATTCCATACACATGTGTGCCCACTCTAAAGAAGAAAAAGACATCACTGGTTTCACACCACCTGGCCTGCCCACTACAACTGAATTCTTTGGAAGACAGAGCTAAAGAAACACAGAGCATGGAAGTAAGGTACAAATCAAATCGCCAAGTAGAGCAATCCCCAGTGAAATGCCGGCTTACCAGTGCTTCCTTCTCCCTTCATGGCTCGCATGAGCTCATTGGCCCGCTCCTGACAGTGTAGGGATTCTAACAGGTAGAGCACGTAGTCATCAAACATCAAGTGAATTAAGTGAAAAGACCCTGGTAAGAGAAGATCCAAACAGAAAGGTAAGTCATGGCAGCTCATGTACGCCCCTCCACCTGCTCAATCGTCCATGTTACCTTGGGCTCCACTGCTCTGTTCAAGTCTCTCCTTCCCCCACTCCATTATCATCTCTGCATGGTCCAAAGTTGCTCCTCTTTGCTGTATCCTCAGCCTAGCCTAATGCTTGACATAAGGTGTCACTAACACTTTGTAGCAAGTGAGTCTTTTCCTTGCTCAATCCGGCTCATCAAAAATGGCACCCATTGAGCCATCTATCCAAATGCCATTGAGCCAGCTGAGCCCTCATAGACCCACTGGCCTCATCCTCACCTGAGCATGACTCACTTTGTTCACCATGTACTGACATGGTGTCTTTCATTTTTATCTCCTCCACAAGTTATGTTTTATTTCCCCGATTGGACTTTAAGGATGTCCATGGCAGGGATTTTGCCTTCTAGTTCCCTATACCGATGTACCTGACAATCCTGGGAGCAGAACTGAAAATTAAAATCTGCAACAACTGAATTATTTCCTTAAATGTTTCTGAGACCTCTGTTTAACACATGGTTCTTAGAAAAGGTATTAGATTGAAAATATATGGTATTCTCAAATTCTTAAGAGTAGATTGTTTCATAAAAAGGGATGTAAACAACCCTCTCCAAAGATTTTTCCAAAGTGCCAGCCTCTGTGTTTAAAGTCTTATGTTCTCTCATTTAATCTCTACAACCACCCCATAAGGTAGGTACTTATATTCCTATTACAACACATTATTTCAAAACCATCTTTTCTTGCATGTCGTGCTGCCACCATGGCCAGTCGGATGATCCACATGTGGAAGGGACTCGATTAATGTCTGCTGTAATCAAGCCTCAGGAATGCCAGAGCCAGAGGGGCCAAACCTTCGTCTCCAGTCCCATGCTTCCAGCTCCCAAGGGGACATCTCCACGTAGCTATTCTGCTTCCCACGAAATGTCCAAAACTTCTCACCCACCTATGTACAGCTGACCTCCTTTTCCCATTTCCCTCTAGTTTGCTTTTTTAGAGGACCTGGAAGACTCTCTGGTATTACTTATACTGTGATTCCATCATCACCACCATGACCTTTATCACTGTCCTAGTCATAGTCATCATCATCATCGTCATGCTTACCACGTGCCCAAACTCTACTAAGCCCTTAACACATGTCTGCTCCTCACCACAGACTGGGATAGGTGGTACTGTCCTCCCTTATGGAGCAGGAAAGGAGTCTCTCCATTAGCAGTATGTAGGGATTTGCCTCAATTTGGTCTGGCTCCAAAATCTGTTCCCAGTCCCCTACAGATCATCCGGTTCAGTCTGCTCACAGCACAGATGGGAAAATCAAAGACTAGGTCCCAGAAGGGCCCTTTGAGTTGGGAGCTATGCCTCTTCAAGTCTCAGGAATAGGGTGCTGGGGCTATAGCTCCAATTGTATAACTGGTTAGTGCACGATACTTGTAAGAAATAAGGTGATGGGGGCCAGCTGGGGGTAACAGGATGACTCCTCCTTGGTGGAATTCATCACTCTTCTTTTTAATTCCACCTTCTTGGTGGAATTTATCAATTTTCTTTTTAATTATACCTGGCTTCTGCACATACACACAGACACACATACACAACCTTCTATAGAAGGCTATAGAAGAAAATGCTCAGCTTAACTCTGAGGCCAGTGGATGCCCAGCAGGTCACACACACCAACTCCTATCCCCCTCTCTTCAGAGCCTGCCACAACCTCTGGTCCTGGTATCCACAAAGCTCGAGGCCAGGGCCCCGTCCTATACTTTGTCCACACTCTTCCTTCATCCCCAGAGTGTTGTGTCCATTTGAAATTCAGAAGGGGTCAGGTTGTGCTAAATCACTGTGAGATGCAGTCTCCAAAGCTCAACTTTCCATCCACTTCCCCAAAATGGGTCCCGTGAACCACTGAGGAGGTACAGCATTGTGGGTAATTGCATGGGCACTGGATCAATCTGCCCAGGTTGAGATCCAGCTCTGCCACTTAGTAACTTAGACCCTGGATGAGTTACTCTAACTAAATGTTAAAAACAAAACCAGCCATTTCTGGAGCCCTTGCTCTGTGGCAGATTCATTACCTGTATAGACCCATGTAAATGTGCAGAATTATTATCACACTTAATCCTCATCACAACTATAGGAGATGAGTGATACTCTCCTTTTGCAAAGGAGGACACTGAGACTTAGAGAGGTAAAGTGTCCAATGTCACACAACTAATAACTGGCAGAACTGGGACTTGAACCCAAGACTCTCGGATTCTGGAGTTGTTCTTCAATCATTATGCAACACAGCTCTCTAAAAGGGAAGACAGTACAACCCCTTGTTTTGGTTTACAGAAGTACTAACCATAATGAGGAAAAGGACACACTAGTTGTTTAATGAATGGTAACTACTTGTTATCTGTAAAGTCCCTTTTGCTCCTGATGTTTTAAGATCCCATAGGATATTATATCATAATATGATTGTTTTGCTCATACAACCAAAGAGGTCAAAAGAAAGCATCAATTACTTGAAAGGGTCTTCAAAATGAAAAAAATATTTGCTGCAATGTTGCTCTAGGTCAGTAAGGATAGAAAGAAATACACTGAGGAACAATAAATTAGAATGGAAAACTCTAGATAATGAAAATGGGTTTAGTAGTTTTATCACAGGCAGATGCCTTGGAAATCATCTATACACCCTTCTCTTTTATAGACAAGGAAACAAAGATCTGACGAGGTGAAGAAATTTGCCCAAGACTGCACAGTTAGAAACATCAGATCTGGGCTTGGAGGCCAGTACTCTGGGGCAAGTGTTGATTCGGGGCTTCAAGCTCTCCTCCTTAGTGGCTCTGATCAGTTACCCAACTGGTCTATAATTTTCAATCACCTTTTGAAGAGTTTGTAGAGCTACTGCTACCTGCCTACTATTGTGCCAAGTGCTTTCAGTACAAAATCACTCAAAGCTCAGTCCCTGAGTCCACAAAAGCTACAAGGTCCTCTGTAGCAAAAGTCAATCATTAAGATAATTGGGCAACAAACAGTTCAGTGCTGGGGCGGGGAGAGGGCCATGGCCATGAGAACAATGCAAGGAGAAGAGGGCAAAGTGAAAAAGGGGATACGGAAAGACTGAGAGAGGGAGAGAGGGGGGCAGGATGGAGGGAGAAAGAGAGCAACATCAAAGACAGAGACACTGACGGGAGAGAGGCATTTACAGCTAACATCCCCTGCTTTATTTCTCTCCCTAGTACTTATCACCGTTCCCTATACTTTATAACTTGTCTGTATCACATGCCTCCCTACACTAGACTATAAGCACCATAAATGCAGATGTGTATCTGTTTTTTTCCCCCCACTGTTCTCCATACCCAGTGTCTACAACAGTGCCAGGCACAGAGTAGAGGCTCAATGACTATTTGTTAGATCAACCAATCAAGTGCGCAAGCCCTGTGTACCATCTGCACTGTGCTAACCTCTCTTTCTGGCAACACTGTGAGACTGGCATTATTATTATCTTCAACTAATACATGGGAAAATGAAGGCTCAGAGGGTTTAAACAACTTGCCTAAAGTCACAGAATCGGCATCTGAGCCTGTTATGGATAAAGGTATTAGGACACAGACAAAGATTTTTGTTGCTGTCGCTACGTGTTAACATAGTTTGATCACATTTCATAGAATCAAAGCATTTCTCTTTTCTTATGAACAATTTCAAATATATAGAAAAGTACACAGAATTTTAAAATGAACGGCAGTATACTCAACTCCTGGCTTTATAGCAACTTAATATTTTACTATGTTTGCATCAGATTTGTTTTTTAACTGAAGATAAAGATGAAGCCTCTGTGTTCTCTTCCTTAATTGTATTTCTCTGCCTCCTGGTGTTCATCCCCTAAGGTAATCACTGACTTGAATTTGGTATTTTTATTTGTTCTACTCTTACTACATATAATTATGTATCCATAAATAACGTATGGTGTTGTTTTCTGTTTTCACACTTGGTGTAAATGGCATCATACTTCACAGAGCAGTCTACAACTTGCTTTTGACAATCTATCCACATGGACGCATGTTAATGCAGCTCCAGTCGGAGGGCCACTGTCTGAATATACCACAATTTATTTATCTGTTCTCCTGGTGATGGAATTTAGGTTGTTTATAACTTTCCACTATTGGAAACTGACACTAATGAATACTTTCTGTACCTGTTTTCTTGTGTCTGCTGGGTCCAAGACTGCCTGCCTGCATCTTTAGTCTTATGAGAGAGTGTCCAACTGCTCACCAAAATTCTTTACATTCCTACTGACAGTCTGTGAAATATAATATTTGCCAGTCTGAAGGGTGTGAAATGTTATCTTATTGTCTTTATAATTTGCATTACCCTAATTACTGGAAAGATGCACATCTTTCCATTTGAATTTCCCCTTCTGTGAATCACCTATTCATATACTTTGCTCATTTTTCTGTTGGGGTATTTGAATAATATTGGGGTATATGAATTTCTATTGGGGTATTTAAACAATTTATTTAGAAGGGTTTATTATATATTCAGTTTGTTATATGCACTGCAAAATATGTTCTTTTCTGTGGCTTTTATCTTTTAACTTTGTTTAAGGTGTGCTTAATAAACACAAGTTTGAAATCCAAATGTAGTTATTTTTGCAATATTTTCTTTATGATTGGTCTTTTTTTGTGCCTTTTTAAATAAATAATTTACTACTTCAAGATCATAAAGATATCATTTCTATTTTCTTCTAAAAGGTTTAAGGTCTTTTTTTTCCCCCCATTTAGATGTTTCCTTTCAGAAGTTGTAGACAGGGGTCTAATTTTCTTTTTTGTACCCTAAAATGCTTGTCTAGAAGAAATTTGTCTAATCCACTGATTTTTAATGCTATCTGTGTCATATATACAATCCTCTTGTTTAATAGACAAGGGACAAGGATCTGATTAGGGGAAGACAAGTTTCGTATCCATCTCTCTTGGGC